AAGTGTTAATCTTGTTAAGTTATTGTTAAAGTCCTCTCGTGCACGCTTCCGCGGCCGCCATTTGGCAACCAATCAATTTTTGGCACAACAGCGGTCCACATTTCCTGGTTGGCAGCGATGATGCGTAACAAACGTGACACATAATAGATGTGACGTATATGGCAAAGCAACATATTTATGGATTTTTCCACTTTATTAGACATATTTGGACTGATGCGACTTATAGAGCTGTGCAACGTTTACGGTAGAAAATACGGTATATGAATGTTTCTGTTCAGTGCCCTGAGATGACTTCAGTTGTGACTTGGCTCTATATAAAAAAACTGAACTGAATTGAATTGAAGTAGTCCAACGCGTGTGTTTTGGTTTCACCGAGCGCATGAAGCTAAAAAGCTGAATTTCTGCCGACGTTTTAACCACAAACAAGTTTAGATGGCGCAAACAGCGGGCAGGTCTTTCAGTTCATAACTCACTTCCTTTCTGAGTGTTTACATAAGTGGGTAAATTATATTTACTAGCGGGTTGTGCTTTCCTCCTGTCTTCAAAGGCTGCAAAGCCAGCCAAAAACTCTGGAGCGTAAAGCCCCTATTGTGAGAGTGGTATGGAGGACTCGGTGGGGGTCTGGGGGGTCTCACTAGATGCCACAGCAGTGTAGCATTTCTGTCTCCTTCCTCATCTATGCTTTCTCCTCAGCAAAAATATTTCACCAGGACGGAGCTGCAATAAGATCCCTGTGCATACTTCCAATCTTTTTTGCCTCACAAACCACCCATCCCCCCTCTCCTCTCTCCCTCTTTCTTCCCTCAAATCCCTTCATTCCTCTCTGCAATTGAGCAGTGGAAAGAGGCTGGCACTTTAGGGGGGCGGGGGTGGCCGTCCGAGGCGCTCTGATGAAGCGGCGGTGTAGAGTTTTGTGTGGGAAGGGGTGGAGGGGGATGGCTGAGTTCTGAGTTGGGACAGGAAACAGCCCCCTCTAGATGATGAAACTGGAGCTTTATTTGTTTATGTGCTGGGGTCGGGTGGAGAGGGTCTTGTAGCGTTAGAAGAAACCCACAAACCCACTCAATCAAGCCTCCCTGGGCTCACGTGTGGACGGTGTTGAAAGGTGAATGGGCACCTAGAAAGTCTGTTCTGTGGTGTCACGGCATCGTGGAGCCATCTGAAGCCTGGAGGGAGACCTTCAGGGTCGGTTGTGTGAAGAAATTAATTTTGGACTTTATTTTGTGAAAAAATAATGCTGAACGATGTAGTTGTCGTGAATATGACGGTCGTAAGTTTCACCAAAAACCATCGGAAAAATGTTGTAGTCATATTTTGTATAAATATTTGGTTATTAAGGGTTTCAAGTTATATTTAAGTACCATTATTACTGCGCCGTTCACAGTTTAAGTCTGTTTCTGTATCCTGCAACAAACAAAATATAAAAATATGTAGATTAGGAACCGTTTGCAACCACTTTGTCATGGTACTTTGTAAAACATGGACGAAATGTGCAAAAGAACTGCAAGAACTTAGAGAAACACAGTTTTGATGAAACACATGAGAAAACCCAGCCCACTTTGAGGGCTAAAGCTCAGATGCACGTTAAAACTTTTAAAAGCATTGCAGAGTGCCCACCCAAGTGTTAACGTTGTTTATTATCTAGGGGTGCACCAATAAATCGGCCCCCGATTTCCTTAATTTTGTGAAATCGTCCGATACTTTCACGAGAAAACGATTTTATCGATTTTTTTAGTTTTTACAACAATTGTCTAAACTTCATTTATATTTCAGAGCACTACCTCACGGCCAGTTAAAACAAGTTTGTATTGTTTCTAGGATTTTGTTCAAGGGTATGTTTTCATTAAAATACGATTGAAGGTGCATTTATACAGACAGTGTTGCTTATAAAACAAAATCAGAATCAACAGGTCAGGCTTTTTAGAGAATGGTGATCGGGCAGAAAACAGCAGTCGGTGCATCCCATTATTATCTTGTTTGGTTTTTTTTTACTTCTTTTACAGTTTATTCAACATATGGGCTCTTTCTTTCCTCTCTACTTCAGTTGTTGCAAAGCTGATGGTATAGTTTTGGGTACCGGTAGTTTCATTGACTCCCTTGCAACTTTTCAGGGTTTTTTCATGTTCAGTTCTTCCTGAGATTTTTCCTTCTACATAAAGTCTAATTAGAGGTTCAAAACATTTCTATAACTTAAAACATGATATGGGAGTCAGTTTTAAAATCAGCATCAATAAAATAGGTATTTGACAAGACTTCACCTGAAAAACTGAAAGAATGCCTGTAAGTTTTCTTTTCTTGTACTAAGGAGGGGAAATAAATGCATGATAAATAATCTACTAAAAACACTTTTTTATTGATGGAATTCACCACAGAAGCCTTTTGTTTTTTTTGTTAATCTGTAAAGAAAAGTTGAAAATTGAGGGTACAACGTGTTACTATTGGAAACCATGTCCAAGTGTCACCCAAAATGTGTTCAGTCAAGGCCAAAAGTCAATCAAGAAACATGAGTGGGGCGGCTGTAGCTGAGTGGTTAGAGCAGTCGTCCTCCAATGCAAGAGTTGGGGGTTCAATTCCACCAGCAGTCACATGCCAAAGTGTCCCTGGGCAAGACACTGAACCCCTCATTACTTTCGATGTGTGTCCCATCGGTGTATGAATGTGATAAAGCTCTGATTATTCTTTGTATAGATACATGGCAGAGTGCTGTATGAATGGGTAAATGAGGCACAGATTGTAGTGAAAATGCTTTGAGTATCTTGATTAGATAGAAAGGTGCTCTATAAGTACAGTCCATTTATGTTTCCAAACATATTAGTGAGAAAGGAACCGTGTACCGTCTGCCTGTTGAAATGAGAGAAAGTACATTGGTTTCCAAACGAGATGTTTGTTGAGTTTGTGTGTGTGTGTGTGGTCTCTGATCCCCTGCCCCCTACACCAGAACACTGGAGCCAAGAACCAGAGACTGGGCCAGGAGCGATACGAGCGAGACTAGGGGGAAACAGAGGCAGCCAAGAACTCTGCATGTAGCTTTTGTTGTTAACTGACAAGTTATCTGAATCCTATTTGGAGCTGGAGCGGGTGTAAGAACAGGAAATAAGCCGAACGCACAGCTCATTCCTCCATGTATCAAAGAGCTGACTGGAGCTGTTTAAAGAAAAGCCTTCGTCTTGGAAGGATTTTCTAGAGTCCAAATAAATCTGTGTTTTGTGCAGGTAATCCTCGTGTGTACCGTCTGAATCCGCTGATGTTTTCTTTAGAACAAAAACAAGCAATGAACATACGCTCTGCCGTGTTGGCATCTTTTTTCTAATTCTCTTTAAAAGCATCTATGTAGCTTAGCTGTAAAGAAAGAAAGGGAGAAACAGCAGGGCGTGGTCCATACATACCTTTGCCCAGGCCTCTTTTATCACTGGATCAGTTAACGTTCCCTTTAAACCGCAGCAGACAGGCCTGCTTTGACAAGGAAAATATCTTCTCCAAGTTTAGTACGTTTAAATCTGGATGGATCGCCCCACCGTGACTCCCAACAAAATGTGTTATTCAGCTGCTTATTTTCAGTTTGTGCGAATCTGTGTGTGCGTGTGTGTGACTGATGGGGGAGGAATTTCTTTCTGACTGATAAGATCTTCTCAGTGTGCTCACATAGGGGCTCTATCAAGACTACAACATGCACATGCACACAGACACATTCTACCATCATCTGTTTCTGCACTCTGTTGGATGGGAGGACGCATTTCTTATGCATTTACAGGTCCTGTATGAGTGAGAGCTGCCGTATGTCTCCTGGATGTTGGTTGGGATGAAATTGAAAAAGCCCATGTTGCCATTTCTCAAATTACACCGTCTGTCTGCACTATTTATATTTAGTCTCTCCTCTGCCGTGATAAGCAAATTACTGAAACCTGGAATGAAAATTGTTCGTCTTGATGTAATCCTAACCATTGTTTGCAGGAAAGTCCCATTCAGTTCTCACATATAATGGAGGATCAGTCCTGTGATGTCATGAAACTAAGTTCATTATTTTAATGCCAACGTTTATTTTGAAGGGATGTCGGTTTAAAAACAGTTTAGCACATTTATTAAAGTTTGATCAAAATGATATGTGAATATGGTGTATGTTTAGTGCAATCAGGGAACCAAAAGTGTTCAAAAATGGCATTAAAAGTCATATAAAGTAGTGTGTAAAATGATGCAATTACTTCAGTGGTTCATAAGTTCTTAAGCTGATGTCATCACAATGTAAGAAATTGAAGGATAAGCAAGGCTTTTTGGTTTTAAACTTATTTTTTTTTATATAGTAGTAAGAATAGTGATTATGCTAGCAGAAGCAGACTAAAGGTTAATATTTCCAAATAGTGGAAAAATTGGCTAAATCTTCCTAACTAAGTCCAACTATCTACATTTATTGCCACACATGTCTGTTAGCAGGCAGTATGTTTCGTTTACACTAAAATATATTTGTTTTTTGATGGAGCGTTTAAAAATATGTTATAAATATGTCATTACTAGAAAATGCTTTTTTTTTTTTCTTGGCTTGGCTTTAAGGAATGTGCATGGCCTGCCACCTTCCGTGTCAAAGTTTTAAACTAAAAAACATCTTAACTGCAGACTTAAAGCTGT